AGAAACTCCACTAGCCAGGGACAAAATGATGCCCTGAAGCCAGGCCCCCAGTGACCCACCTCTTCCACCAACACCCTACCTGCTTACAGTTGCCCCCAGTTAATCCTTACTGATGAACTCCAACTCACAGTAAGAGAATGTGAGCACATTTCTCCTTCCCAACTCCATTTAGAGAGCCCCCCTTACCCCAAAGTCATAATGATGAGCTAAGAGAAGTTGCGACTTCATGCCCCAATTCTTAGGTTTATACTCAATACACATTCCCAGACTTGAGTGCTCCTGCAAGGTCCAGCCTGGCATTCTGCCAGGGCATTTMATTTGCATGTCTCTTTGGTATGTTGGCCCTTCCTTAATGTAGTATTTCCCAGTCTAAAAAGGGTGTGTGTGTGATATTTTGATGTTACTTTGATGAAGAGATTTTGCTTAACACTGTCTATTCAATCACAGAAGGGCCCACTGAGAGCCTCTGGTGACATTTTTCTTACAACTTGGTCATAAAACTTTTGGGCTTTTCCTTCTTTATCTGCAATGCTCCCAGTTCAGCATCCAGCTCTTCTTTAAAATTGACTTCATATGGATCCCTGGAAGCAGTAATAATATCCTTCTGTTGAATGGAAAATGTACCATTTTGAAACAATGAGACTTCCCACTACCTCACACAAATGTGAGCCATGTTGAGTGTCACCCAAGTCTGTTGTCAGACAATCTGGTTGCCTTGAGCCAGAGGGAAGACTGAGTTCCCTATGTCCTCTGAGTGCTACAGCGAGGAATGAATGACTGAGGAATCATCTCCAGGCCATTCTCCCTATCATTGAGTCTGGTCCTCCAACTGTGATGCTCAGATGGTTGCGCAGAGCCAGGCATGCTCATGTCCACCAAGGTGGCCAGTCACAGCACAATTTGTTTATTGCCCCCATGCATCAACTCCCTTTGTATGAAAACCCACAAAGGCTGGTGCTCCTTTGGCCTGGCTGGCCAGCAGCTCAGATGTGTCATACTCACAGCCCCATGCCAGAGTGTTCTATGTCATACAACCCCTGCCCCACCATCCCAAAAGATGAGAGAAATACAGAAAAAAGAAATGGTGTACAAGAGAGTCCTGGCAGCTATTTTAACCATGAAACAGCTAGTTCTGCAAAAGTGGCCCCATAGTGGCAGAGGAGAAAACTGTGGCAAGGACAAATGGCCCAGCTTGCTCTGTAACTCCTCTCATCTACATGGAGGGGGACCCTCCAAGTTCAGGAACTGTCCTGTTGACTGAGAAGAAAATATAAAATAAGAACCCATAATGTGTTCCAGACAGTTGCAATAAGAACTTGCTGCTGCTTTTTAGAGGAGAATCTTTAAGGCAGTGTAGTTTTCATCTATTCTGTACAAATAGTGCCATTAAATACAATAAATTCAATTACATAAATTCATTAGAAAATGTTATCAGAGAGGATTATGTTACCACAACACCCTGAATTAGTACTTTTCTTTTAGAGACTCAAAGCCAGATCTCTATTTTCCTTTTTTATGCTATTGTGATTCATTATTCTTAAGAGTGAAATTGGGACAGAAGTCACACATGGCCTGTGTGGAATCTCTCCTACCCACACATCAAAATATCCTCTTTCCTTCTGTTTCATGATGCCAGCATACCATTAAGAGCAATTTCCCTACTAGATGGTATAGATTCATGCTTTCATGCTGGAGTGTAGAGGGAAAGAAAAAAGAAAAGCCCAATTGGGTTTGGGGTGTTTGTCAGGTTGCTAGTAGATTTTTATATGGGGGTAAATAAGTCTCTTTATGATGCTAATCTCCCAGAGAAAGGAAAGATAATACAAAAGGAAAGAATAAAATTTCTTAAAATTTCTGTCAGTTTTTTCTGTTCTAGACACTCAAGATTTAGATGTAAAAGGGTCTATGAAATTCAGGGTGGAAGAATTGAGTTTTAGGATGAAGTGATGTGTTAGGAAAGGTTCACAGAAAAGAGGGAATTGTTCAGTCAGCCTCCCAGGGAGTCTGAGGGGCTATGGTGCATTGTACAAATGGTTCTACAGCCAGGAGGGTGCAGGAATCACCATATTAACAGGTATAGTCCTCCAGAATGTCTTTTTCCAGAAAGCCCAGAAGATGAAGAGACAAAATCCAAGCAAACTGGTTTTCTCCAGAATTCTCAAAGCTTGAAAGGGTGAGGGGTTCCCACTGCATGTGATAAGAACTTACCCATTAGCTGTATATGGTGAATTCTGGTTCATCACTCTAGGTGCAAACTCAGAGCCAATCAGATTATTCCTGGGAACCCACCTCACCATAAATCCCTAAACCCACAGGAATATAGATTTCAGGACAGGGAGGAGCTCAAGCAGTCTGCCTAAGATCAATAGAAAATTCTTAAGGGTTTATAGCAATTTCAATTCCATCATCTATTTTGATCTTCCAAATAGTTAAGGAAAACAGGAACCTGATTAGGCCACCAACTCCAGGCTTATGGAGGAGAAAAGGCTGAACAGTGACTCACAGATAGAGAAGCATAAGGCTGATAGCCAGGAGGACCTGGGTCTCTACAGAAGAATTCAGGGTCAAGTTCTTCACCACATTCCTTCATCAGTTTTGAATTCTGTATCTTTCTTTCAACTATATGGGCTGCCCTTTGCAGAACTGTGCCTGCACAGTGTCCCTTCTGTGACAAGCTATGATTCAATGAGGCCAGTTTTGTGCTGGGGAAGGAGGTGAGGCCAGGGATGAATCCAGTGGAAAAGCCACCTTTGCATCTCCTGGAATTAGAGGGGTCAAGTGTCTTCTTTGCAGTTGGCAAAGAATCATRCACTCTCCTACTTTGACCTTTGTTTGAAAACAGGGACTTAAAGATGTTGCCTTCGGTAAAGACAGGGACTCTGGGGCCTGCAGCTGTACAATGAGTAACTAAAAGCAGGATAAAGCTTGGCATTCTGCCTTCATTCAGTATCCTTTACTAAATATTTGTGACTGCTCAGCTCTGCACATAAACATGTTAATAATTTAAGGAGTGCTCAGATAAAAACTAGCAATACATTACAAATTTATCTAATCTATCCTATCCCCTTGAAGATTGAGGCAAGATTGAAGGGGCATTCAACTATCAGCTTTTTAAAAAATATTCTTTTTAGTTGTAGATGAACAAAACACCTTTGTTTAATTTATTTATTTTTATGCAGTGCTGAGGGTCAGACCCAGTGCCTCACACATGCCAGTCAAGTGATCAACCATTGAGACACAACCCCAGCCCCTCAAGTGCAAGCTTTTACAGTATATTGTTTCAGAATCCCAGGGTGGTTCCCAGATGTCTTCAGTCATTGTTCATTCCCTTCCAGGAAAGTCAGAGCCTTTTAGACAGATAAACAAAAGGAGTTTATTCCCTTAACAGGAGCAATCATCTCATGGGACCACACTGCCTCTTTTAGGATTCCAGGTCTGGTAGATAAACATCCAGAACAATAAATAACATTTATTCCTTTCAAGGGATAAGGACTTCTCAGGAGCCACCTAACAGTGCTAGAAGTGAGACAGTTTGGACAAGACTGCTCTTGTCCTCTTCCCCACTGTCCCAATTCTGTTTTTATTTAAACCTTTGGGTCATGCCAGCACCTGAAAGACATGAATTAAAACATGGATCCCCTTGTCTTTCTGGTGTGGCTGAAGTTCTTTTCTTGATTTTTGTGATTACTCTTTGGATTTTGGGGGGGGTGTGGTGAGTGGCAAGACCTGGATTTTGTATCTGGCATGGGACTCCTGTAATTCTTTCAATTCTTATTTTGTGGAAAATCAAGAAATCACTGTGTAATCAATAGTGCCAAAGGTTATGTGATATTATGASAAACTCAAGTGAAGCCACTGGCATTAATCTCCTGCTGCTGTATTTTTGGTTTTTTTGTTGTTATAGGTGGACACAATATCATTATTTTATTTTTCTGTGGTGCTGAGGATCAAACCCAGTGTCTCATGCATGGTAGGTGAGCATTCTATCTCTGAGCACAACCCTAATCCCATACCTGTGGATTTACAAAACATGAGAACTTTGTCAACACAAGCTCCATCCATATATCTTTGCCCACACAGGTTCCTCTGCCTACAGTATTTTTGTGCCTCATAAAAGACTCCTGCTGAGCCTCCAAAATCCAGCTCTCATAGCACCTATTTTGATAGAGTCTTTCCTTAATAATCTCAAAGAGTAGGATAATTTATTCCTTGCCTGTAATCCTCAAGACTCTATAGGCTGAGGTAGGAGGATCATGAGTTCAAAACTAGTGTCAAAACTCAATGATACCATGAGCATCTTAGCTAAAACCTGTATCAATAAATATATATCATATAACATATAATATATAATATATATGTGGAACGTAGTAGAAAGAACTGGTCATTACCCTATGCGCATATATAGTTACATGACTGGTGTATGTCTACATCATGTACAACCAGGAGGATAAGAAGTTGTACTCCATTTTTGTATAATGTGTCAAAATGCATTCTTCTGTCATGTATAAATAATTAGAACAAATAGTAAAGTGTCGGGGATGTGGCTCGGTGGTTAAGAACCTCTGGATTCAATCCCCTGTACCAAAACAAATAAATAATTAGGTAAATGAATAAAGGCTACACCATTAGGAGTTGAAGATGGACTACAAATACGTTTCTTGCTTTCCAGAATCAACAAGGGAGATAGGATGGGAGTATAAATTCTAAGCTAGAGATATAGTAATAACTACCTCAGTAAAGTGTTACAAATTTTGTACTTCAAAAATGGCAGAAGGACACTATGAATATACTTTTCCAGCAATGGGAAAATTCACAGCGGGTTAACTTTATCCATCTTATTATTTAATTTGAATTTCTGAAAAAGCTCCATGTATTCACTGATTGTGATGATCAAAAGATTGAGTTTTGACTCTCACTGATTTAGTACTCTATATCCCCTTAAATGGGCATAGAGGCTTCAGATAAACTTCTATAAGAATATGTTTATTGATTTTCTCATTATAAAACTTATCACAGCATATTTTAAGTAAGACATCATATATCAATGTCACTACAAAAGCCACCACAACCACCCTCATTTTCATTAAAAATTGTTGACAAATTTGGTAATAATTATTTATTCTCTTATTTCACATCTGGCACTGAGATGGGCACCTCCTTTCCATCAGAAAATAGATAATACTCTGCACAGACCCTGAGCAAGCTCAGCAAAGGTCCAGCATCTCTTATCATTCATCAATTGAGGAATATAAGTAAATCTTCATTTTGAGTTTTCTTCACAAAATACATTTTTGTTCTCTGATGTTGTGGGTCCCAGGCTCTGAGGACAACAATGCACAAATCCTTAGGGAAGTTCAGGCTCCACTTATTGTCCCATCTCTGCACACAGCCTTCAGAATAATGGGCTTTTTAGGTTGAATAAGTCCTTGATCAGCTAATTTTAGGGGAATCTGTAACATATAGACAAGCATTTGGAGAAGCAATGAATGAAACACCAGGAACCAAAGCAGCAAAAAGTAGAGAAGATACATTATGCCCAGTGATGCTCCACAAACATAAAACTACTTTTAGTATCATGTACTTTGAATTCATCCTACTCATTCTCTAAGGTGTGTCATGATTGGATAGTAAAATTATTCATTTATCTGAAAATGTATTTCATAAACATTTATCCTGTACAAGGCCTGAGACAGGGAGGTTCTATAAGATCTGGTGAGGAGAACTTCACTCAAACATCAGAACCCTGTGGTCACCACACCTCACGACAGTGCACAGGGTCTCTCCAAGAGACTTGGAGCTGAATTTACACTGTGCTCAAGTTCACCATCCACACACTTTGGTCTTCATAATGCCATAGACTTAGAGCCCCCATACTGATGAACTCTAAAAATGTCAAAGATGGTGCAAAAGTGACTCACTGGATTATAAATCTAAGAATTTAATGATGAATAAGCATATATTTTTCCGTGACTAGGCCCCTCTGTTTGGAAAAACATCTTGAAATAAAACATTAATTATATGAAAATCTACTGACCTGGGTTTCCTTACAAGGTTGGAAGGAGAAGTTCTGCATTACTTTGACAAGAGCAAGTTTCATATTCATGAGAGCAAACCTCATGCCAATGCAGTTTCTGGGGCCATTTCCAAAGGGCATGTATATGTACGGATCAATGCTGTCCTTGTTTTTCTTACTGAACCTGGTTCCACAATAGATGACAAGTCAACAAAACATTAAAACCACAACAGTTACTTGTTTCAGTTTCTGCCTTAGACACCCCAAGCAATGGTGTAAAAGATGATTTCTGGGCTGGTCATTGAAATCCAGCTGTGGTTTTGCTATGAGAATTGTTAAGCTATGGAGTTTTTCCACCTTTCTCCCCCTTAGCCTATAGGAGTTTTTCCACCTTTCTCTCCCTTAGCCTATAGGATCTTTCAGTCTTTTTGAGATGAGATAAATGCTGTTTCAAAGGAAATCATGGTAAATTGAGACAGTAAAGAAAACAAAACACACATAAAATATAAGGAGTATAACAGTGAATACATAAAATGAAATGAGATAGTGGTTATGTAGGTTATGGCACATGCTATAAAATTGAAAACACAGACACAGACACACACACACACACACACACACACACATGCATACACACAGAGTCATGGTGCCATATCTGAGGAGAAATCGTTTTAGCATCGGAATAAACAAAATCCTGGGTGATCAAGTCTCTTATAAAAATAATGGGGAAATACTTGTATAACCTATGCACATCCTGAAATATATTTTAAATCATCTCTGGATTGCTTATAATAACTAATAATATTAAATACTATGTAAATACTTATTGTATTAGACTGTTTAGGGGAAACTGACAAGAAAAAAGTTTATTTAATAAGTTGAAATTATAGATGCAAAAACCATACATACACGCTGAGCACAGTGGCACACACCTGTAATCCCAGTGACTTGGGAGGCGGAGACAGTAGGATCCCAAGTTCAAAGCCAGCATCAGCAATTTAGCGAGGCACTAAACAACTCAAAACCTGTCTCTAATAAAATACAAAATAGGGCTACGGATGTGGCTCAGTGGTCGACGGCCCATGAGTTCAATTACTGGTACCACCCCAAAAATCATACATGCAGAGGTTGAATGCATATATTATCAAGTGCTAACAAAAATCAAATAAAATATGATACAATCTAGTTTTGCAAAAATATCTATATATGCATAGAAATATGTTTATGAGAACATGATCATATTATTAATTCATGATTATTTAAAGAATTTAACAAACTAAAACGTTTCTTCTCAGCAAAAGAAACAATTTGTGAGGTGAATAAGGAGCCTATAGCTTGGGAGAAAAATTTTACCCCTCACACATTAGATAGAACACCACTCTCTAGAGTATATAAAGAACTCAAAAGCGAAGCACCAAAAAAACAAATAACCTAATCAATAAATGGGGCAAGAACCTTAACAGACACTTCTCAGAAGAGGATATACAATCAATCAACAAATATATGAGAAATGCTCATCATCTCTAGCAATTAGAGAAATGCAAAGCAAAACTACTCTAAGATATCATCTCACTCCAGTCAGAATGGCAGCTATTATGAAGACAACAATAAGTGTTGGCAAGGATGTAGGGAAAAAAGTACACTCATACATTGCTTGTGGGACTGTAAATTGGTGCAGCCAATATGGAAAGCAGTATGGAGATTCCTTGGAAATCTGGGAATGGAACCATCATTTGACCCAGCTATCCCTCTCCTCGGTTTATACCCAAAAGACTTAAAAACAGCATGCTACAGGGACACAGCCACATCAATGTTTATAGCAGCACAATTCACAATAAACTGTGGAGCCAATCTAAATGCCCTTCAGTAGATGAATGGATTTAAAAATGTGGCACATATACACAATGGAATTTTACTCAGCATTAAAAGAGAATAAAATCATGGCCATTTGCAAAGTAAATGGATGGTGTTGGAGAAGATAATGCTAAGTGAAGTTAGCCAATTCCAAAAAAAAAAAAAATGCCAAATGTTTTCTCTGATATAAGGAAGCTGACTCATAGTGGGGTAGGGATGGGGAGCATGGGAGGAACAGATGAACTCTAGATAGAGCAGAGGGGTGGAAGGGAAAGGGAGGGGGCAGGGGGTTAGCATGGGTGGTGGAATGTGATGAACATCATTATCCAAAGTACATGTATGAAGACACAAATTGGTGTCAACATACTTTATATACAAACAGAGTTATGAGAAATTGTGTTATATATGTGTAATAAGAATTGTAATGCATTCTATTGTCATTTATTCTTTTAAAAATCAATTAATTTTTWAAAAAAAATCAGTATAGTGAATGGTCATAGCATTCGTTTTGTTCCTTGTCAYAAATTCATATCATTTTGCAAGAAAATATTATATTTATAACAGGAAAACTGCTTAAAATACAAAGACAGATATAAAAATAATTACATAGCTACCTGTATTTCATCTATGATAAGAAATACAAGGACATGCTTGGACAACCCTAGCCCAGGGTGGTTCCCTTTCCCAGAGGCCCTGTACCTTTCAGGGCGGAACTCCTCAGGCTCTGGCCAGTGCTGTGGGTCTCGATGAAGAACATAACTTGGCATCATCACCACTGTTCCCTTCCTAATGGGCACTCCATTGATTTCAACATCTTTCTTACAGACCCTCTCAAGTCTGCCAGCAATTGGATACAACCTGAGAGTTTCATTCACCACCATGTCCAGGTACTCCATCTGTAACACGGTATCATAGGTAGCAGGTGCCTGAAGAGAAAAAAAAGAGATTTTTTTGAAATTCATGTTCAGAACTAACTTTAAACACAATCTATGTAGTTTTATTAAAGTGTTAGGAGATCCCAAGGATAACAGAATGSTGAAGGAGAGTAGTACTTACAATTGACTAAGCATTGTAATAACAATCATGTGCATTTGACAACCATGTCCATGGCCCACTGAGAAGTGCAGAGTAGTTATGTACATAAGAGACCTTTGGGACAATCCCAAATTCAGTGTGTAATATCCCCAGCATCATCATGTACTACTTTTTCTCATGTGAGGAAAAGTAACTAATAGAATATAACAAATACACTCAGGTAAAATATGTGAAAGTCACTGTAACCTTTCATTACAAAAATCACATGTCTATTTCAAGGAAATAGGACATAGAAATGAGGAAATAACCCATTATACATCCGTTTTTTCTTGAATAATCCTGCTTTGAAAATATATATATATATATATATATCTTAGAGATAACACTATATCAAGTAAATAATGTTGGGAAAAATGGTAACTTCTACCCTAATACCACCAAAAAAAGGCTAAGATTGGATGGCACCATGTCACACAATTTCAATTCCAGAAAACGTTCTAAGGAGAACAGGAAGCCACTCTCAGTCCGACCCTCTGTTGCTCTACCCATCTTCTGGTTGTTCTTCAAGGCTTCATTGTGAGCTCTGAAGAAGAAGCTTTGTGCCAACTTCACTCCAAATCAGCCATGGCAGCCCCAGAGACCAGGTGTTTTGATATCTGATAGACTCCCTGTTTAGGCAGAGGTGTGAGGACAGCAAGCACAACATGTGGCTAATGCCTGGTGTGACATTGGAGAGGAGACYGGTAGAAGTAAAGAGTTTGGTTCAGGAGCCAGAAAACCTGACTCATCCCTTGGCAGCTTCTCTCTAATACATGACTAGAGTGTGAAGATGTGTGGATCAGAGCAGAGTCAGCCTGCCCACCAAGCCCAGGCTCACTCAGTAGACAGCCAGGCAAGAGCTCATGCCACATCTCAGCAGAGCCAATGATCTGGACACTTTAGTGACACAAGCTTACACTTCCTAGGTATCATCATGGTAACTGGTAATGGGTTAATGGATACAACTGAAATTTCACTCTTAAAAATTCCTTGTAGTTTTGGAAATAGCATTTTCTCCAAAACACTGTTTTCTCCTTCATTTGTCTCTTCAGATCTTTTCCAAACAGAGCTGGTGAAAAGAATCAGTGACTATATTTTGGACAAAGCCTCCTAGGAAGGGACAAGGAGGCAGTCTTGCTGAGGCTCCGCCTCTCTCCTCCCTCTCCAGTTACCATCTTCTCACCTTATTGGGCAAAGCCGCATCAATCTCCTGCTGCAGTTTGGTCTGGGCATCAGGATTGATGGCCAGTTCATACAAAATGAAGGAAAGAGCAATGCTAGTGGTCTCATAGCCAGCAAAAATGAAGATAATTGATTGGGCCACAAGCTCCAGGTCAGACAGGGCTAATGGAAGAGGAAACACAATTTAGGTAAAACCAGCAAATCACAACATCAGGGTTTGGATTAATAGAAATCACATTAAAACCCACAATCACCAGGCAGGACCATGGAAAAGCAGTTCAGGGTCATTCTCAGAGTTTATCTGATAGAGGAGACAATGGAAAACTTTTTAAATCCAGTTTTCCTGAGGTCTATACCACACTTGGACTGGGCTTCTAGCTGTGCCATTCTCAGCACCACCAAAGATAGGTAATTTCAAGAGACACCATTTCTATCTAAGATACACAGTATGATCAATATGTCCCTTAGATTTTGTGTAAGTAAAAAAGGGGATGATATTCTCATCCAGGAAAATTTTAAATTATTCTAGGTAACATATAGCTTGAAACACTGATTTGATTGTTTATAATACTAAGGTTTCAGTGTGTGGTCAACTGAAGAATCTTTCATCTAAACATGTTGGAGGAAATGTAAGGAAATATTGGGCAGCAAAGGGACTGTTGCTACTCAAAGCCTGGTCCATGGACAAACAGCATCAACAGCATTTGGGAAATTATTAGAAACACAGAATCTCAAACCCATCCTAGAACTACCAAGTCAAAATGTGAAGTTCCATGAAATGTGATGATTCTTGTGCATATCTTCCCTTGAGAAGTAGGGCTCATGCCAGTGAGAGGTATCAGGTAATAGAAGACCTGGGGTACCTGTCTTCAAAATGGATGATCTCAGAATACACAGAAACTACACAGTAACACACAATGTTAGAAGAGTAGTGACTGACACTGATATAATGAATGTCATTAAAGTATCAAAAGAAAACTGTCAATAGAGAGACAGTAAACATGACACGTGGGGAAAAAGTAGGGTGTATTTTAGTAAAACACAACACTATTCAGACATGAGTGAATGTCACCTTCCCTAGAATATGCCCTCTATCTGCGCTACTTCATGCACACCAAATAGCTCTTCTCATAGAAGCTGACCTCCATCATGATTTTTCCCTTGACAGAAGCTAAGCACAATCATGAAATTAACTCATGTATCTTGGAATGCATCAGGACTTTTAGCTGGGGCCCTGAAATAAACATGGTCCCTATGCCAAACATGCAATTTAGGATAAAAAAAAATAATACACAAAACAAGTGTTTGAAAGGTCTACAGAGTTCAGATTTACTGATGTTTTTTCCTATGATGTTTTTCTATGATGATGTCTTGGGAACATCTAATTATGAAATATTTTATCACAGGGAGTTTGAACCCCATGAAATAGGACTAAAAAGTCAAAGTTTGGGCCAGGTGCAGTGGCACACACCTGTAATCCCAGTGGGAGGCTGAGGCAAGATATTCACGAGTCCTCAGCAACAACAAGGTGCTATATAACTCAATGAGACTCTGTCTCTAAATAAAATACAAAGTAGGGCTGAAGATGTGGCTCAGTGGTTGAGTGCCCCTGAGTTCAATCCCTGATACCCCACTCCCCAATGCCAAAAAAAAAAGTCAAGGTTTGAAGCTTGGATGTTTGCATTCGTAGCTACCAGCCATATGTGAATGTTTAAATTTTAATTAATGAAAAATCAATACACTTCAGTTCCTCGGTGGCACTAGCCACATGTCAAATAGACTGTTTCCATCATCACAGAAAGCTGAATAGAACTGGGTAGATACATATAGGATAGATGGATGGATGGATGAATGGATGGGTGGATGGATGGATGGATGGATGGATGGATGATGATTTTCTATGATAATGTTATGGGAAGATTTAATTATCAAATCTTTTATCCCAGTGAGTATGAAACCCATGAAATAGGACTATAAAGTCAAGGTTTGGGCCAGGTGCAGTGGCACACACTGGTAATCCCTGTGGGAGGCTGAGGAGTGGATCACGAGTTCAAAGCCATCCTCAGCAACAGCAAGGCACTACGCAACACAATGAGGCCCCTGTCTCTAAATAAAATACAAAGTAGGGCTGAGGATATGGCTCAGTGGTTGAGTACCCCTGAGTTCAATTCCTGGTAACCCTGTCCCCTGCACCAAAAAAATAAGTCAAGGTTTGGAGCTCAGATGTTTGCATTCGTAGCTACTAGCCATGTGTGGGTGTTTAAATTTTAATTAATTAAAAGTCAATACTCTTCAATTCCTCAGTGGCACTAACTATGTATCAAGTGCTCAGTAGGCACATGTGTTTGGTGGTTATTTTATTAATGAGTTAAATTATAGACTGTTTCCTTCATCACAGAAAGCTGAATAAAACTGGTTAAAACATACAGGATAGATGGATATATGAATGGATAGATAGATAGATAGATAGATAGATAGATAGATAGATAGATAACATGTACATGTGAACATAAAAATATGTACACTGGGGCTAGGGTTGTGGCTAGTGGTAGAGAACTCACCTAGCACATGTGAGGCACTGGGTTTGGTCCTTAGCACTGTATAAAAATAAAGGTATTGTGTGTACCTACAACTAAAAAATAAATTTTTTAAAAAAAAAATGTGTACACTAGCAGGCTATAGTAAGCCCAGTCCTCATCTCTAGAATTAATTGCTCAACATTCAGGAATTTTTTCAGATGGTTGTCAAGGCACTGGGTACCATGAATTAGAACTCCAATGGGAGTATTTGTTTATTACAGAAATAAGCTGTAAATTAGGGAAAAAAATTGAAGGAGAGAGAAAAATAGTTTATATCATTGGATGGGAGTAGATACAGAAATATTTCTGTCCTCTGCTCCATGTAGAAATATTTCATGTTAAAAATCTTGTCTGCAGAGAGTATCTAAGAGCAAAAATCCACAAGATGATCACAAATTTTGATTTCTAAATTCCATTAATTGCAAAAACAAAAACAGAGCAGAAACAGAGCAGAAACCTGGAATATCTTAAACCAGAAAGCAAAAAAAATACTTGGAAAATAAATAAAAAGGGCACAGAATACACTGTATGCTACTATAATGTGGATACATGTCATAGAATGTACAAGACCAAGAGCAAACCCTAAGGAAATCTGTGGACTTTGAATGATAGAAGTGTGTCAATACAGGTTCCTGAACTGTGATAAATATAACTCTCTAGTGGTGGATATTAAGAGTGAAGCATGACTACATGGAGAACCTCTATGTTTTCAGTTCAATATTGCTATGGCCAGAATAAACAGAAGCTACTTTTAAAACAATCATTAAAAAGGTGACAAGAATAATAGAGGACTCAGGAGCTTACATGAAAGGGGTTCCAGGGAAAAATATGGGAGAAATTGAGCATCAAAATAAAAATAGTAAGAAAATAAGTTGAATAAAAATACCATGCTGGTAAAAGAAATATTTGTTTATATCAGCTTCAACATTTGAACATGGTTTTAGATGTGTTTCTCTAGGAAGTTCCTCAGGCTACTGTATATAATATCCAAGCATGGCCTTTCTGYAACTTGGTAGAAATGCTCTTCTTCCTCGAGAATCTCCTGCACATTTCCAGAACACACTTCCCTCTGAGTTTCCCCATCAGTAGACGAGATAGCAACCTTGTTTACCTTTATGAGACTCCACATCTTTGGAATTCTGAGAATTTATCATAAGCTGAAGAAAATCCACCCGATGCTAGAAACAGAGAGATTTCAAAGATAGAAGGTTAATTATGAAGTCAGAAAAAAATTAAGAGTGCAGAACTTATCTTCCCTTCTGAGACTATGACTTCTTTAAATTCAGAAGTCCAGCTGGAGTTTCCTAAGTCATCAGTGAAGAAAAGCATCCATCTATAAACTTTGAAGAGTAGGACCTTTCCCTGAGTGAAAACAGGCTGTGGAGTCCAACAACTACTGCTCTTTGCTCTCCCCGCTTGTGAGCTTCTGTGGATTCTGAACACAGCCTCCTGGACAGAGAGTGTTTGGCTTTGTCTCCTGTAACATTTGTTTGCTCAGGGAAGAGTCCTGAACTGCAATATTTTGTTTTACTGCCTTAATTCTTCACCAAAGATGCCACAGATTAATCTCCTGCCATTTTTAGAGCTCATCATCAGATTTTAGGCAAGCTTCTTGAAAGATCCCAMCATGCTTGAAGCTATGAACTTTGTCCTGAAACCTGGAGGGCCCATCTTGGCTCCCTGTCCTGCACACATCCTGTGCTGGGCTTCATACATGAGACAAAACCTTCACCTAAAGAACCCCATGCCTGCTCCATGAGGGGCCAGAGAGTACCAGCTACCCTGAGGATGCCTTCTGTGGAGAATTTGTAAAGTGAGAGGTTTGGAAATGCAATGATTCTTTGCCAATATAAAATCTGATGAAATTAAAGCACCAAAAGATAATTTTTATGTTGAAATTTTATCTATTGAAGAAACGGGATATGATAAAATGTTTTTCTTCTATTAAAAAATCATTTCAACTGATATATAAAACATTAAGCTGTACATATTAACTAGGTAACCTGATTTCTTTGATATATGTATATTCTGTTTGATGTTTATGTCAGTTTAAATACATCTTTAATTGCATTTGTCATTTCCTGATGATGGATGTTTTCAAAATCTATTTGGCTCAATTAATAGGAACAATTTTAAAATAGTGCAGCATGGAGTACATGCGAGTACATATCTCTCTTTGACATTCTAATTTCACTTCCTGTGGCTAGATACCCAGTAGTGAGATTGCTGGATCATACGGTGGGTCTGTATTTGATTTCTGAGGGTCTTCCACACAGTTTTCCATAAAGGCTGTCCTAATTTACATTCTACTCAACAATGTACAAGGATTCCTTTTTAGAGTATTTGGGACTTTTTCTATCAGCAATATTTATGCCTTGACAAACTAAATTCCAAGCCCATCATTTAACTGTAAATGCTTTCTCTTTGGTTCACTATTTTTTCAGTATTTGGAATATATAATTTTATTTATTTAAGTCTTTTTTATTAGTTCTTTTTAGTTATATGAGAGTAGAGTCCATTTTGACATAATTATAAAAAGCATGGAATACATCTTACTCTAATTCAGTTCCCTCTCTGATTCAGTCTTGTATCTCTATTACCAGATGCTAAGTTCTTTATTCTCTCCAAATGGAAACCCTATACTACTCGCAACCAAGAATTCTTCTTCATATACCTTTTAAAAATATACAAAGAAGTATGGAAGTCATTCACCCATAGGCAAATAAGTGATCAAAAAGAACCTTCTCTGTAACCACCACCAGATTTTACCTGTTGTTTCTCTTGAAGGCGACTTTCTTTCATTCTGCTTATAGCTTTCTTTAAAAAATTTGTGACATCCTTTGGAAACATAGAGATATTCATTGCCTCAAAAATTGGAGTAAGGAATGGAAATATGGCTGCAGGAGAAAGAAAAAACAAAGGACACTTCAGTGAAAAATGTAAAATTTACCTGGAGCAATTACATCTTTTCTACCAATCAGAAAAGTGGAAGTCATAAGGGTTCCTAAAGAGGAACTGTTCCTTCTGAGACTGCTCATTGGGCTCCAGGCCACTGGCTGAGCAAGAGGATGTCATATATAGGGCCACCATCATAGTAGTGAGATCAGTGGCCCCTTCTGCCTCTGTGGTGTGACCAAAGGAGAAAGATGAAAACCCTGACCCATTTCCCCTTCATGTACTGTAATAGAGTGTCTTTGGATAAAACTAGGCTTCAGTCTGATGCTGCAGTTAATCATGCTCTTCAAGAATGAGCATCCAGGATGGAACCAACAGAGCATGTGTTCCTCAAGCACCACAGGAGGAATCCAGAAGGCATTATTAGAAAGAAAATTGGGAAACTCAAAGTATGGGCAAATTGATCAATATCCACCTAAATAAACACTGGATGAATGAAGAAATATAGTGAAACAAATAAAGTATTGAAAGGTAAAAAAGGAGGCATAATATATCAAACTTGTGAAATGGAGAAAAAGCCATCATTGTGCAGACGGAAATTCTTATCTATTACATAAAATAAAGAGCACAAATGAATGATCAAATTTTACACAATAAATCATGAAAAAAAGAAGAGCAAATTAAACTTAAAGGGAAAAAAGGAAGAAAATATTAAGGATCAAAGTGGAAACTAATCAAATAAAAAAATAAAATCAATAGAAGTAATTAGTGAAAACAAATGCAATTCTTTGGAAAAAACACAACAAAATTGGCAAAATAATAGCTACACTGACCAGAAATAGAAAGGCTACAGTTACTAGCATTCAAAATAAAAATATATAGAAAGAAATACGTAGAAAGAAATATAAAGACGTTGTAACAATCAGATTATCACAACAATTAACAAATTACATACATGAAATGGACAAATTCCTAAAAATACACAAAAACAGAAACTGACACAAAAAGTAATACAAAATATACATTTAAATACATCAGGTGATGAGACTAAATTAGAAACTAAGAACTTTTCTACAAAGTGAAGCTCAGGTCCAGATTTTTCATGGACATTTCTACCAAACATTAAAAAACTAATACCAATTCTTTACCTCTTTMCAAACATTCATAGAAATATCTTGTATTTTTTAAATATAGAGTACATTTAACACTTGTAAAAGATCCTAAAATGCCCATATTAGCCTAATCCTAAGATTTAACACAAAGATAACACAGGAGAACTACAAACTGATATATTTTATAATTATGGATGCAAAATCTCAACAGAATATTAGCAAATGAAATCATTTGCTGTTCTCTTCTCTACCTCCACCTCTCTCTCTCTCTATTTCCCACTTATCTGTCTCCCCAAAGTCTCTTTCTCTCTTTTCTCCTGCTACTAGCCAACATCTTTTGATTCCGCTTTTATGTTTCCTAAGATCTAATAACTCTATATMCTCATCTCCTACCTCCTTAAAATCTCATCCTAACCCCTCCCCCAAGTTCTCTCTTTGTCCACCATTATAAACTGTAGATACTTTTGCAACCTACCTCTACATGGTTGATAATAATTAAACTCACCATTTCTGTCTATTGTGACAAAACTGTAAACATCTCAATAGAAGCTATTTGGTTTAATTAAGCCTGCATATTGTTTGCATTCGGATATGTTAATATTGATCTCTTCCTTAAAGGAGAGGTAATGGAATCCTTCAGGGACAGTATAAATCTATCGATAAAAACTAATACATTGGATCTACACTGCTAAAGGGAAAGACACACAAACAATATGAAAAAAAAAACAAGGGAAAAAAGTGCCCCAAACAAACCAAGATACATTACTAGAAACACTGGCCAGCACAGCAGAAGAGATGTCCAAGAAGGAGTTCAGGATGTATGTAATTAAAATGTTCTGTGAATTAAAGGATGATATAAGAAAGCAAACACAGGTAACAAAAGGTCATTTCAATAAAGAGCTACATAGGCAAACACAGGAAGCAAAAGATTACTTCAATAAGGAGATAGAGATTCTACAAAAAAAGAAAAAAAGGAAAAGAAATCCTTGAAATGAAGAAAACGATAAACCAAATGTAAAACTCAATAGAAATCATCACAAAAAGACTAGATCACTTGAAAGATAGGACCTCAGACAATAAAGACAAAATATATAATCTTGAAAGTAAAGTTGACCACACAGTGAAGATGGTAAGAAACCATGAGCAGAACATTCATGAATTATGGAATAACATGAAAAGGCCAAATGTGAGAATTATTGACATAGAGGAAGGCATAGAGTTCCAAAACAAAGGAATGAACAATTTATCTAATGAAATAATATCAGTATCTTTTCCAAACGTGAATAATGAATTGGAAAATCAAAAACAAAAGGCTTATAGGACACCAAGTGTACAAAATCACAACAGATCTACAAGGGGAATAACAATGAAAATGCCTAACATACAGAATAAGGAAAGAAATTTAAAAGCCAAAAGAGAAAGGAATCAGATTACATATAGGAGGAAATCAATTAGTATCTCTGCATATTTCTAAACCCAGACCTTCAAAGCTAGAGGGTCCAGGAACAACATATACCAAACTCTGAAAGAAAATGGATGCCAGTAAAGAATCCTATATCCAGCAAAATTAAGCTTTAGATTTCATGATAAAATGAAAACCTTCCATGATAAACAAAAATTAAAAGAATTTACAACTAGAAAGCCTGGACTAGAGAACGTCCTTAGCAAAATATTCCATGAAGAAAAAATGAAAAACAACAATGAAAATCAGCAAAGGGAGGAACTACACTAAAGGAGAAGCCAATCAAAGGAGAAACCAAGTCAAGTTACAAACCAAAAATAAAGCAAAATGACTGGAAATATGAACCATATTTCCCTGAATGTTAATGGTCTAAACTCATCAATCAAAAGACATAGACTGGCAGATTGGATTTTTTACAAAACCAACAATATGCTGCCTTCAAGAGACTTTTCTCATAGGAAAAGACAACCACAAACTGAAGGTGAAAGGTTGGGAATAAATATACCACTCACATGGACTGTGTAAACAAGCACAGGTTTCCATCCTCATATCAAATAAAGTAGACATCAAGCCAAAGTTAATCAAAAGGAATAAAGAAGTACATTTCATACTGCTGAAAAAAAAACATTCATCAACAAGAAATAACAATTATAAATACTTATGCCCCAAACAATGAATTATGGGACAACATGAAAAGGCCAAATGTAAAGGCCATCTACATTCATCAAACTCTTCTCAATTTCAAGAGTAAAATGGACCACAATACAATAATACTGGGTGACTTTAACACACCTTATTCACCACTGGATACATCTTCCAAACAAAGAAACTATAGAACTCAATAATACAATCAATAACTTAGATTTAACAGACATATAGAGAATATTTCATCCATCAATGAGTGAATACACTTTCTTCTCAGCAGCACATGGATCCTCCTCTAAAATAGACCATATATTATGCCACAAAGCAACTCTTAGCAAATACAACTCTTAGCAAATACCCTGCATGCCATCATATTAAAATGGAATGAAATTAGAAATTAATGATAAATGAAAAATAGAAGCTACTCCAACACCTGGAGACTAAATAATATGCTACTGAATGAGCAAGGGATAGCAGAAAGCATCAGAGAGGAGATTTAAAAATTCTTAGAGGTAAAAGAGAACACTGATACAACATATTGAAATATCTGGGATCCCCCACAGCGGCCACTCCACCGAGGCAGTCAGCGGCCACCATCCGGTAAAGCTGAAGGATACACTGCCACTCTCCTTCAGAGTGCAACATCAAAACAGGTTGGTGTCATTCAGCTCACCCCCCAGACAGCGGGAATTCGCATAAAATCTCTCCTCGGCTTGCCGGGAGAGGGAGT